AAAAAATATTTTTTTTTATTATCCTGCATCGGATACTGAAGTATACTCTTATTGTTGAAGAAAAACAATTAACGTAAATGTCATTTATAGTGTTCAGCAGTGATTATTATCCTAGGTGGAGATATATCTCTTCGCTTCGCTATTGACAAAACAAATCTTTTATACTATAAATTCATAATCAGAAATAACGTCATTTGTTTATAAAGAGTGGCCGAGGAGTCCTTACTCGATTTAAATAATAAATTTTTCTTTCATAAAATACGTGGTTGAAAATTTGTCTCTATAAAGAAAAGATGCAGTAAAACACGTTCTACAAAAATGGCTTTTAATTGACCCCGTTCCATCATGTAGTAAGAACGTTATAATCTTAGAAAGATGCTTCACAAAAAGCAAAATTAACCTCGAAGCTTTCAGAACATACAAGGAAACTAGTGGAGTCAATACAACTTGAGCACTTGGTTCACTTTCAAAATCACTTTAAAATCAATGTATAATTAATGTGAGATGTCAAAAATGTTTACTCTAGAGGAATAATTTTGTGGACTCGTGCTTTCTTTGAACGAAATGAGTCCGAAACCAGCATTGATAATGAATTACAGTTTTATGAAAATCTTCTTCCAGTATGTCGCGATGCATTCAGAAGAAAAATAACCGTAATACTACCAAGGAGGACAGTAGAAAATAGATCAGGATGTGTTGCATCAAGAAATGTTAGAATGGAACAATTCAAAAAAAAAGGAGTACAAAGAGTAATACACTTGGAAAAGGACAAAGTCAGAGAACGATTCATTATCAATGCTGATTTCAGATTCATTTTCTGAAAGAAATCACGAGTTCACGAAACTACTCCTCTAGAATAAACATTTTTGACGTCTAACATTAATTATATATTGTCTTTAAAGTGATTCTGAAAGTGAATTAAGTGCTTGAGCTGCGTTGAATCCACTATTTTTCTTGTATGTTCTGAAAGCTTCGCGGTTAATTTTTGTTTTTTGTGAAGCATCTTTCTGAATCTATAACTTATTTATTACATGAGATAGCGGCGTGAATCAAAAGTCATTTTGTGAAGCGTGTTTTATTGCCTCTTTTCCTGATAGAGACAAATTTTCAACTACGTATTTTGTTAAAGAAAAATTTATTATTTAAATCGATTAATGACTTCTTGGCCACTCTTCATATATCTTTAAAGATGCCATTATGACAACTTTGCGTTACAATGGAACAAGTCTAAATGTATTTTATAACGTCGTTTGATGATTAATGTATGCTGTTGTGAAGCAATTCAACTTTTATTGTTTCTCGTCAAGAATAAAAATCTATTATTGATAAAAATGATTAGAATTCGATTGAAACAGCACTCAACATCTTCAGAAGCATAATTTATGGTTTTCAAAATGAAATGTTCTTTTTTTCCTTATTATCAATAAAAATTTTATAGATACTTGATAAAAACTTTGTTTTTAGTGTAGAATCAAGGACAACTAGGAGAGCCTTGTCTTTGCAGGTGGATGGATGGATGAGGGTGAATTGAAGAAGAGATACTCACCCTCACCCAATCTCTGATAGCAAAAACCTAACCATTGTCGAAAGTTCAGTAGTTAACAAAAGGTGTGTTATCTATGGTCCAGTTGCATAAACATCACTAACTAGTGACTTTGCAACAAGAATCAGACTTTCGACAACGGGCAAAAGTCAACATTGCGACTTTCTGATTCCCAGAAAATTCATTCAATTTAAATTAGAATGTCTTAAAACTCTTATGTAAATATCTTAACGACAAGAATTTATTTGATAGGTAAAATTGCTTAAACGTTGAGTTGGGTTTTGTTATGTGAATTTGTATCTGTTGAGTAAATAATTTGAATGCTAAGTAAAATTATCAGATGTTAAGCTAATTTAGTTTTTCTAGGGAGTAAAAAAAAATTTGCTAAGTTCGATAATTAATATACAAATAAAATAGTTTTCACTAAGTTAATAAATTAAAACTTTAGTTATGAAATACATTCGACAAGAAAAAAATTACTTTTGATATGTAATTTGTAATTAAGGCTAAATAAAATTATATAAGATAAGGATTTTGTTGCTGATGGCATGACATCTACAGTTTCTCTCTCGCTTTTCTTCTGCTAGCGTTAACGTAACATTGTCACATTGTATATACCACCTATATATTCTTTCATTTTGATATCTTGCGTGAATATGTCAGCGTCCTTTGCGAAAATATTTAGCTACAATTTATTAAGGATCCGTTCAAGTATGTGAAAACATCACATAATGTCTTTTCCTATAAACTGCAACATGTCATTAGTTGATTTTTTCCTTCTCTTTTATGGTATATGTCGAACACACATGGATCGTTCCTTACCTGCCATAATATGCGAAAGATTTTTCTTGAGGGTGAGAGTGAGTGGATGGGGAAGAGAGAACCTTCACCCACCTATGATCCAGCAGAGTGGGAAAAATGGAATATGCAATTGTCTAAATGTTATAGGCATGTTTGCCACATACTCTCACATCACGTCAGCTATTCGTATCTGGTTTCTCTATTCGTTCTTCGTTTTTCTCTCTTGTCTTTTATTCATGTTATCGTCTTCGGTATGTTTTCAGTTAGTTAGATTTTGATCACAGAAAGGAATCGAATAAAAGGGACCTCTGATATTTGGCGCCGTGACCCGTTTCTATTGCATTGAACGTTCGTCCAGTGAAATTCGTCGTTATCATCTCTCTCTTCATTCATCATCGCCAATCGTTTTCTCATTCTTTGTCTACTCTTATCAATCGTTCTGAGGTGTGTGGGTGTGGGGTGTAGGTGCTAATTCGAAACCAAATCACACTCACATCCCACACCCGCAAGAAAGCTCATCACTAGTTGAAGCAGTGATTAGAGCAAGAAGAAGCAATGAGAAATATTTCATTCGATTGAGGGTGTGGATATGAGTGTGGATGTGGGTATGGGTGCGGGTGGCCTGGGTGTGGGTGGGGGTGGGAGTGTAAGTATTGTTCTATTCTTCAGCGACACACCCACACCCACACTCTTCATATACTTTTCTGTTTGTAAGAATCGAAAAAAAGTTGTTTTAACGGTGATACACGATTTCTGAGAAACCTGTACGGTTGATCAATTTTGTCCTTCAAAATAGTATCTAACAAATTAAAACATCATAAATAACAACAACTACAGAAGTTACCCAGGCCGAAAAGTACCGGCCGGTTCCCGCAGGAAAACACCGGAAATAGCCGGAACATGGAAGCAGTATTCCGGCCGGAAATTTTCGGAATTTTTTCCGCTGATTTTCCGCTCGGTTCCTGCCGGAAAACACAGGAAATTGGCCGGAATTCACCGGAAAAAATCCGGAGAATTTCCGGCCGGACTACTGCTTCCATGTTCCGGCTATTTCCGGTGTTTTCCTGCAGGATACGGTGATTTTTCCCGCATTTTCCTGCCGGTTCCTGCAATATCCGGTGGCCGGAACGATCGACCTGGGTAATTAAAATGATTTGGCTTTAGGTACGGAAAAATGCATTTTGAAAATAATTCAATATCAATGATTGCAGACATAATTTACTGGATCCTAATATTTAGCACTATCACTCACAATTGTTGCAATCTATGGTTTCACAGAACATAAAAGCTTGGTGAAAAGCAATTTTCTAATGCAACATGAGCTGCTCGAGAAAACGACATAAATAGCTTTTCAAATGAAGTGTAGTCTTGTTATATCGACATGACACTTTACAGACAATTATTCAATCTTACTCCAGAAAGACAATTTGACCATAGATATTCGAAACTTTTCACACTATAGACTGAAATAATTCTAAGAAGAATCAAGAGTGTGTGGGTGTGGGCGAGTATGAGTGATAAAACACAGTATTACAATCATACCAATACCCACATACGACCAAAAATTCGTCTATGGTCCCCATCAGGCCTGTTTTTCTTAAAATTTGTTCCTGACCTCCTAGGGGTCGGTCGATTTTTGGTCGAAAAAAATTTCTTAAAACATACATGATTCTCTGCAATTTTTGATGTCGATTCCGAATATGCTATCTATTTCACTTTTTTGCTGAACCATGATAATAAAAACCGCTAAATACGAGCACATTTTTCATGCTTTTATCCGATTTTCCCATCAAATGAGTAAAAAAGCTCAATTTTCTTAACAATAAAACAAAATAGGTATTTTTGTAGCTCATGTTTTGAAAATTCTAATAAGATAAGACATTTTCTTCTATCTGTTGTTACAAAAAACTAGATAGATTTACAAGATGAGTCACAAATACGTACTTTTGAGCATGTTGAGATATCTATATTGGATAAGATTTTCTAAACGTTTTATAGCTTTAAATCTAATTGAATTATATTTATTACTCAGTTTTTCACGCTGATTCAGAATATGATATTTTAAAAAACGTTTAACGAAGTAGATGTGGTTCAAATTTAACAATTTCTGTAAAAGAAGCACGATATAGCTGCTCTATAAAATATTTGTGGTCATTCCAATTTTTTTTGACATTTTTCTCAGCCAAATAGCGATCGAATTGAAATAAAACATATATTCGTGATCAGCTTTTCACGCTCTGTCAACCCATATCTAGATGAACGAAAAACAAAAATCACAGAAATTTTACATTTCTCCGCCCTTACATCACTCGTTATGGGTACAAATGTTATTGTAATTATTATACGTGTAAGTCCTGGCATGAATAAGCAACATCTCTAGAATCATCAATGAAAAGAGCGCCAGTAGCATAGAGAAATCTTCGAAATAGACAAGAAACAATAAAATTAGGAGATGTATTCGAAAGACAGAGGGTGTGGACGGGTATGTTCCGTTTTCTAACACACACACATCCAATCCACAGTCATATCCAAGAATCCAATGGAAGTTAGCTAGAAGTTGATTTTTCATATCATTAGAATAAATAGAAGATCAGAAGATAATAATAACGCGATGGTGCTTGGATTAATGCAAAAAACAAGAACAGAATTCTCTCTTTTAAATCAAATCGGCAATGTCCATGGGCAGTTCTTCGATTCGTGTATTACAATATTGTTCAATATGATGTAGTATTTGTCGTTCATCATTGGTAATGAAATTGATAGTCGCACCTTTTCGACCGAATCTGCCACGACGTCCAATACTTAACCAAAAGAACACATTTCATTTGTTTTCTACCTTGTTGATTCTTACCGATGAATATAGCTCTCAGGATTAGTCGGTAGATCATAATTGATAATAGGACTAACTTGTGGAATATCAGTATCAGCCTCAAGCATATCTGTTCTTACCAAGATTCGACTGGAACCCGTTCGAAATTCTTTTATGACATCATTACGTTGTTGTGCATCCATATCAAGATGCTGCAATAAAAAGAAAATTAATTTATATCTCAATGTATGACTTTACAAATAGTTATTTCAAAATTATCATGGTGAAACTGACCAGAGCAGACACAGTTAAAGTACGTGCACGTAGTTTTTCAGTTAACCAATCGATTTTTTGACGTGTGTTACAAAAGATGACAGTTTGGGTGATCGTTAATGTATCAAACAAGTCAAATAATGTATCTAGTTTACACTCCTGAATAAAAATAATTATACATCAGTTCACCATCATAGAGTGAGAAGTATGTCTATCTACTTCACGTTCGACATTCACATAAAATTGACGAACACCTTCGAGCGTTCGTTCTTCTATCTTAAAAAAAACTTTCACAGGATCATTCATAAATTTAGCTGTAATTTCGAGTAAATCGAAAGCCATTGTAGCCGATGCAACAATGACCTGAACATTTCCTGACAGCATCGTAAATATATCATAGATTTGGTCTTTAAAACCACGAGATAAAAGCTCATCAACTTCATCCAATACGAACATTTTGATATTTTCACTACCTACGATGTGAATGAGAATAAAAATACGACACATATAAGACATAAATCACGTACGAAGTACTGATCTCTTTAACATATCATAGATTCGACCAGGTGTACCAACAACAATTTGAACACCTGCTTCAAGCTGTTTCATATCCTCACGAAGATTCGTACCACCAATACAAGCATGACATGTCACATTCATATGTTCACCTAATGCTAAAACTACTCTATGGATCTAAATTACAAATAGAATCAAGAAATTGATACGAAACAAAGATTATATGCTATAGAGAAAACTATACCTTTTGAGACAATTCACGCGTTGGTACCAGAATTAATGCTTGACAATCTTTGCACTCCATGTTGAGTCGTTGTAAAACTGCAATGATGAAGGTTATCGTTTTGCCCGTGCCTGATTGTGCTTGCACAATCACATCGTAACCTTTAAGAAGAATGAATATTTATTGAACAAATTTCAGTTCTAGAAAAATGGCAGAAAACGAACCCGAAATACACGGTTTGAGAGCACGTTGTTGTACATCGGTAGGACGTTCGAGACCATAACCATAGATACCACGTAAAACTAATTCGTGCAAGTTCATCTGATCGAAGTGCTCAACCACTTCTGTCAAGTGACTTCGAGTAATTTCGTCTCGCGGCAAAGATAGTTCAATCTCATTATGTTTCTGCGAAAGGACATCTGTGCTCGTATTCTGGTGAGTGTCATTCCTAAAAATAAATATCAACGATTCAGTATGTGATTCTTTTCAAAACCAACCTGCTCTTGAGATGGCTATAATGTCTTAGTAATTATTAGATGCATCTTAGAAATATTCATCGAAGACTTAAGAATCTATACAAGATTTAGACATATACCTTTGATCAAGCAAGAGTTATAGATATCTTACTGGAAATTGAAAGCCGATTTTTCTAGCATTTTCTCTCCACCAAAAATCGTTTTTTTATTCTTTTTCTCTGATCTGAAAAAAAATTATTTATTCACTTATTTTCTTAGGAAATTCTCAAACATAGCACACACAAATACTCTTATGCCAGTAGTGTTCTTTGTTTTAAAGTTCATGCAAGAAGCAATACGTACTCTAAAGGAGATGTGGTTTTGCAGTCGTTTGCTTTGGTTTTCGTTTCACTATTGCTCATCAATGAAGATAAAAAAAGGTAATGTATTTCAAACCCAATTGATCTACAAAGAACCAAGAATATAATTATTCGACAACCAATCAAAAATACATCATTTATATTTCATTTAACACACGTTGACTAAGAAAAATTCAATCAATATCGTATATGAAACAGCTGCGGTTTGAAAAAGAAAAGGCAGACTATAAAAGACGAATGCATATAGATGACTGTAATTTCGAAATTTCTCAATGAATAAAGATGAGTCAGCTAATATGAAGGTCCTTCAGAAACGAAACAACCAATCGTTTCAACATATCAAAATAAAAACTGATTGAACTTTTACATAATAATACTGGAATGGTTTTCAAAGCTTTGATAATTGTAACAAGACAAATACAGCCTCCGATCTCATATTATCCTATGCTGCTTAGTCTATCTTTTGCCATCGAGCGCTACAATCTATCGCAATGAAATATCTAATAGTGTGCTCGAATTATGTCTTCATTAGTCAATCATATCATGATAGTGTGGTTTGCTAAGTGAGTGTACATGTCGATATGGCATAATTATCATGCCCACTCACATCCATCCTCACTCTCAAAATGAAAAAGCGAAGAAAATCACTCAGATGAATAAACTTCAATCGATTAGATTTGCAAAAGAAATTGATCAATTTAATGAGAAATGAACACAACTCGATCAACAATTTCCAATGAATATCTCGACAATGAAGAAAATCTGTTTGTTTTTCATTTATCTTTCTAATCAAGTAAATTGGATAAATTTTCTTAATACAACACAATATTGTTGAGAACAAGAAAAACTGATTGAAGAATAAGTTTCGCTTTGTATTGTCGTTGTAAAGATGTTCAATCAGATTTAAGTCAAGTTCATTTAGAAAATATAAAACTGCTTCTAAAGAATCTTGTTCTCACTGTAATCAATACAATTTTTGGAATGTTTCACAAAAAACAGCCCGAGTCAATCTTGAATTGTTTCTTTTAAACGAAAAGATAATTGAAAATGATGAATAGTGACAAAAGTTTCTTTGATAATCGTCTTTATTATGATAGAGATCAAATAATAGGAATTAGATTTTCTTTTGATATGTTGACACAAATTTGTTCAATTTGAAACATTTCGTTCACCATTTGTTGTTCAATCTTCAAAATGAACTGATAGTCGTTGTAGTACTTGAATTTAAACTATTTAGAAGTATTCTGAAATAAATCAATTAGAAAGAATCAAACTTGAACAAACGAAAAATAACGAAGAACTTTTCAATAAAATTAGATATTTCTCCAAATAAATAAGACGATTTTACTTAAATTTATGCAATCGATACGAATATCAGATGAAAATGTTGATGAACTGAAAAAAATTCCTTTGTTTATTTGTAGTGTGAACATATTTTAGGCGAAAAAATTCTTTGAGCTAAATAATCAAAAAATGAATTCTCAGAATAAATCAATAAACATCTTTGTTCTTATTCATTCATTTATCTATCAAAATTAGATTAACAAAAACCTTTTTAATGAGTTTTTAATAAAACTCATTTAATCATATCGAATTTTATCGATATCAATTCAGTTAAAGACAAAGTGCTGAAAAAACATCGATTTAAGATCTTATTGTCTTTATTTGTGACAATTTTCATCTGATTAATACGAAGAATTTCTTCAAATATGCAAAAGAAAAATTTTTTAATCAATATTCTTTCTTCAAGAAAATTCTAATCTTTCTGATATTCTTTTCAATGAAAAATGTTTTGAAAAAAACAACAACAAAGATAAAATTTGTTCAATGAGAAAATTTTTACTTTTATCGGATTGAATAATCTTCTATTCTAACAAAAAGTCTATTCATCATTAAATTGAAGTTCTACCTTAATCGATTGATCTTATCAGGTCAATTCAAAAAAAACTTTTATTTTATTTGTTTTTAAATTCTGAAGACGTTTTATTTGATTTCAAAAAAGGTGTTGGTGTGCTTTGGGTGTTGCTATGTCTGTGGATGTGGATATTCTTCCCTTGTATACCTACTCAACACCCACACCCATCTATAAGGCGGTCAACTTCTTTTAGATACTAGAAGTAATCACGGAGAAACTCAGTTTTTTTAAATACAGTGTTCTTAAGATCATTGTTTATTTGAGAGTTTTTATATGGTTAGAGACATGCTGCTTGCATGCCTTCACATCCCTTCTCTCAATTCATCTTTGCTTTCGATCTCAGCATTCTTTTGTTTTTATCAGTCAAATTGTTTGTGATTTGAAGAGACGAAGAGATTCGTGTTCGATGACACAAGAAAAGAATTGAATTAAGGAATCTCTAATAGATTTAAAATAAATAAATAATATTGTTACGATGGATATCCAATTGATTGCACTATGATTTGTCTATGATGAGACAACCGATTCAATACACTATTTCTCAAGGTAGAAAAAGATAGTGAATTAGGAAGTTTCTGAAAATTCTCAGCCGATTGATGGAGTAACTCAAGTAGAGTCTGTGCCCTTTCTACATCACATCTCTATTCACATGTATTTTAAAGCAGGTTCTAAGGGAAGATATTTAGATTTAAAAAGAATTGGGACATGAGAAGAGCAAAGCGTACTGCGGCAAACATAGTCGCAAATCTTGCTCCAGAATGTTGTAATAGAACGAATCTCACTTGCCATTTCCCCATAACAATAGAGTTACTCGTCAACATATACGCATCTACTAGCAGAAATTCGATCTCTGATAAAAAGAAACCCTGGTCCCCATGTAAGCAGAGAACGGGTGTGGATGTAGGTGTGAGTGTGGGATGTGGGTGGGTATGAGTACTTTACCCGCACCCACACTCACACCCATACCCACCCCACGCTCACACCCCACGCACACCCCGTTTATCACCTGAACGTTCCACTGGTAAACAACCTTGAATTGGTGTTACACAATAAAATTTATCGTTCTTGTTGAGTGAACAATCTTCCATAGTGTTATTAATAAGAAGATAATGATGTTCATTATTGTTGCATTGATAAGAATATAATATGTAAGAACAACTGAGTTCATCAGTACCGTTTGGACAATTCCATATTCGATCATCACAATGTGCATAGTGCGTATGACATAGCCAATATTCACAATTTGTTTCATCAGCTTTGTTTGGATTATCAATGTCAATTGGGGACATTTCTGTGAAGCGATTAGAAACTTTTGAAAACATAATTCCTTCGTGCTTATCATATTTCGTATGTAAAATACCACCATTTGCAACCAACTCATCTTCACAAGACTAATTATAATATTAATTTTATTTAAAATTTCATTGCATTAGATTAACTAGATTGTCATGAACTTTTTTTATTATCAGAAATGAGGTATATGAACTGAAGTTATCAAATGAAATAAAATTTACAGAAAAATAATTTGACATTTGATTGTTTGTTGTATATTACGTAATATCGTCTGAATTTCCAGTACTTTCTTTATGAACAATCGTTCGTCTTGAGATGTATTTCCTAACACTTGCAATATTATTTTCTTCAATTGGGAACATCTATCTACAACACGTTTCCATTGATCATCATCAAAAAAAATATTCAATATTATTTTTATTACTAATGATATGAATATGGTGAATGTTCGGCATTTTTTTCATAAAATCAGCTATTGGCATAAAAAAACCATGATTTGTAATGTTAAAGATGACTGTTTGTCGATGTCGAAGAATAATGATCAACATCAAGTAAAAAATATTTAATCCTAGTTGTTACCATTTGCCGTTTTTTTAATTGGTCAATATCATCATCATCAGTACAAAATATTTCGGGACAATGAATTTCAAATCGTCTGATTTGTTGCCGAGCTTGAATTAATACTTCATTGAATATAAAATAATTAACTTTATCGTCATAATAGAGAGAAAGACGGGTCAAGTTTGGAAAACATTTTATATATTCATTAATTTGATCAGAATATGGTGAATTATGAAGTGTTATTGAAATGACTTTGTTAATATTAGACAAGAAGGCTAATTCGGTCTCTAACCACAATTGACTTGTATTGAATTCTAATGAAACAATTTGTTCAGATTTGATTTTTCGAAAAATCATTTTAATAAATGGATCATAAGGATTAGGTAATTGAAATTTTGATTGAAAATTATTTAATAAAGAAAGAATATCAATAGAAAATGCTGAAATTGCATCATTCAACGAAAGATATTGACTTATTTCAAAAATAATTTCCCAACAAAGACCAGTCTTTTTAACGAAACTAAATGACTAAACGAATACTTTTCATATAAAAAATAAACATGAAAAAAAAAACACTCACTAAGTCTTGTTCATTTTTATCATATTCTTCTTTGAAAATATCCAATTCATTCAATAGATTTTCACGATTAACTGTCATTTGAGTACGTGTCAAACTATTACCTATAATTAATGATTTAAATTGATATTCAGATGTTACGATACCATCTATTTTGTGTTCAAATAGTCTCATAACTCCAATAAGTAAAGGACATTGTTCAATGGAAAAATTATCAAAGAATTGAGTAGAAAATATTTCTTCCCAAATTTTTGTTAATCTAAATAAAATAAAAAATCAATTTTAGTAATCAAATTGTTATATGATTTACGTATATCTATTCGATTCAGAAGTAATTTCGTATGGCCCAACAACAAAATTTACATTTAAATAATCGATAATCGTGCTTGAATAAAATATAGTCTCACAAAATTTTTTCCTAAATTGATTGTCGTTATGATATATGTAAACAAGTAGTGGACGACACTGAAATATGAAAGATTGGAGTATTTTATGTAAGGAGAAAATCTATCTGGATGAACTTCTTGAATTACAGTTGAACCGAAAGCTGCTTGACATGCATCTTTAAGAGAGCCCATGAAAAACATAAGATAATTATTGTAACGTTGTTCAAAACATTTGGATAATGAATCAATATGTTGAACATCATTTTCATACATAGAAGAAGCTTTAAAATAATAAATTAATCTGTAAACTTATCTTTTTTTTTGTTATAAATCGAAAAACAACTTACAAAGAATAAAATCAATGAATTCATCATCATTGTCAATAAGGGTGTGGGTGTGGATGTGGGTGAGGGTGTGTGTGAGTATTGTTCTATTCTTCAGCAACACATCCACATTCACATTCACACCCACACCGACACCCTTTTCAACCATGATAAGCACAACATGCTTTTGAAGTGTTTTAAGTAAATTTATAGCTTTTTTAAACAGGTGATTTTTATTGATATCTCGGCGGATGTAATATATCTATCTGAAAACGAAAAAAAAAACCTCTCTTGTACATTTTCATATGCGTTCATTTGGTTCATTCTACGTAATTGTTCATCTGTGGCATATTACTCAAAAGATTCTTTTCATATTAGTTTATGGAGGAATAAGTCTTGATTTTCAATGCTGAAACATATTTTGCGTTTGTCTCACAATAGGGTTTTTGATTTTGACGTATCTGGACATCTCAGATTTTACTGCTATTTTAAACGCTAGACATCTGAGATTGGTATCAAAATGAAGGTAAAAAGTAGCTCTATAACTTTATAGAGTCGTTTTTTCGATTTCACCATTAATGTTTATTAAAAACTAACCGCTCTGGATGCACATCCGCTGAGTTTTCTGTTTTTTATTAGAGGCGTTCTCTAGAAATACGGGCTAAGAGAAAACCGAAAAACCGAGAACTGTTAAGTTGTAGCATCACATCTTAGCTCCATTTTAGAAACAACCTGAATTTTCTAGAATTTGATATGACGGAGAGATTTGGGACGCATGGAAGCCTAATTTTTAATCCCTAATCATATGATAACTCTTCGTAGAGTCAATATATCTAGGTGAAATTTTTACTGTGAGGTGCTTAACTCAGTATACACTTTCACTGAGAATTTCATCAAGATTGGATGCTCGAAACAAAAATTTTTTTGAAGGGTCCACTTAATGTCATAATTTATGAAATACCTCGGTGTACTATTGCGTGTTCAGGTAGAATTTCTGCATGATCATACTCAAATCCTTTTTTGTCTAAATATAATCTTTTTTATTAAGGCAAAAGATATCTCTAACCGGAGGAATTTCGTTAAAGAGTATAATAAAAGAACGAAATTTTACTATATAATGGAAAAGGTTATTTAACGGTCAACTTCATTAAAATCAAGACGCTCAAGGGCAGTCTATTGATAATCGAATTAAAAATCGAGAAAAAAGTAAAAGAATGATATGTTTTCTAAATAAATGAATTGAGGAACTTTGATATGAACATGATAAGATCTTGGTTTTCTATCTCAAGTCAGATAGGCAGACATTTCACTCTAAATAATGTTCGTAATCATACTATGATTAATCAATAGTTAAATAGCTAGATCTTAGTACCTCTATATCAGTACATGTCGAACCCAATGAAACTACAAAACCTTTACAGAAAAATTTAAAATGATGAATAAGCGTTCATATTATTCTTTAAGACGCAAATCAAGTCACATCTTTTCCTTGTTTCTCCGTAACAGGTTTACTGTCATTTCTATGTCTCATCTTTTCCATTCGACAGAAATACCGAAAACTAAGTATTTTCTTAAAACTAAAAACAAAATAGTTTTACATCAAGCTATTTATGTATCGAAATAATCTTCACTAACATCAATTGGAAGATCAATATTTAACTTTATCATAAGCATCATATAGTTGTTCTTTCAAATATCTCACTGAATATCTGACCGTGTGTTATCCCACCGGAAAAGTCAATATTAATATTTCTTAAACTGACATAAAATCAGTACTAACTGTTCATTGATTCCAAGAACAGTTGACTGTCAATAAATCATTCGTTTTATCTATGTGAGAAGCATATTCTTCGAATCTTTTATGTACATCTTCCGTAGAAGAATCGTACGATTTTAGTTCACACGTTGGTAAAAAGTTTCCTTATGTTTAATTTCATCTTGTTGAACATGTTGAAAACATAACATTCGAAATGAATATTGGGTGTGAAGTTTAGATGGGTGTGCGTATCGGTGTGGGTATTCACCACACGCTTCCTTATCCACAACCAGATCCGCACCCTAAAATAGCCATACATCCTGTGTTACTATTAGCTGGCTAGATGTACTACGATACAAATGAACTCATTTTTTGCATAGATCCAGTAGCTACAAGTCCTTCATATACAATAAATGAGGTACATAAATCACCTATAACATAATTATTATTTACAAGTAACGCTTGTTGTTGCCATTCGCTTGATCCTGGACGAAATGCCCAACTGTTTCTACATAAAACACTGCTAGACCAGCCCAATCGCTACTAACGCCAAATGTATGCATGAGAGTGGATATGGGTGTTAATGAATTGTGGGTGCTAAGGTGCATGCCAGTGTCACTGACGGTAAGGATTTGCGTGTGTGTCCGTGTGGTTCTTCTCTGCACCTAACTCACACCCTTACGGACATCTACACTAATGAGCACACTCATCCTCCCAAAAAAAGACACGCACAGCCATACGTACGCGCATACCAACAGCCGTTCTCCTACACCAAGGAGCTCGTAAATACCGTGACCGCATTCACAGTACACCCACACCCTTATGAAATTTGACTAAATTGCAGAGACAAATCCACCACCACAGAAAGAGTTGAATTCAAAAATTTCAATAAAAGATCTATAGATTCGGATCCTTCGTCTCCGACAACAATCAGTGAAGTTTTATAAAAAAATTGTTGTTTTCTTGGAATAACCTTTTCTTTAGCAAAAAAATTGATTTGAAATAGAATGGCTCTCATCTCTAGTTATAACACTAATTATCTGTTTTTTTCTCCAAAACTGTATGAGCACCATCACTAAATTCCAGTATCAAAAGGTGCTGAGGTGTTGGAGATTTCAAACTCGTACTGTTCCCTTAAAGTTAAATGTACGATGCTCTATCGTACCGAATCGTTAGATAGTCTTAGGTCAACTATTGCACTGCACTCTTTTCTATACACACAAAAACTGATTGATAGTGTTCTTCTTGTTTTCTTGTTCCATTTCGTTTCGTCATCAATCGTTTTTATTCTGTAATCTCAACTTCAACCTAAAGCAAAATGAGGGTGAAGGTCAGGATGTACGAGTGAGGGCGATGAAGATTGTTACTTTCATACTCTATTATTTTCGACATTTGCATGATTTTCATTTTCGACATTTTTATTTCAATCAAAGTGTAGGCAATCTTTTATTCGGTTGGTAGCGTTTTACAGTATAGAGAACAGTATTGATTTCATTTTCACGCTTCATATAACGAAATTTTTCATCCTTTCCAAAGTATCTCTGATAGTGATGATCTTATCATATTACATGAGCGACCGAAGAAAAAAGGTTGAAGAGAACTATGAAATCATATATATCTACCTAGACTTGCGTTTTAGTTGGATCAAAACAATAGCGATGCTCAACGATTCGGAAGCAAACACCTTGTATATTCCTTTTCATCAAACGTAAGTTGAATGTGAGTTGATGAGAAAAATCAAAATGAGAAAATGAATAACAGAGATTTCGAAGCGGATACTGATAGAGTTGTTCATCCAGTAGTTATATTTCGAGTGCAGTTATTTCGTCTATCATCATTATAGTCGGTCATCTCGATCGAAGAAATGTTATACATCGCGATTGCTTGGCATTATTATCGTTCTGTTACTGATTTTCATAATCGTATTGCTCGTTTTATACGACATTGAGCTAAACAAGATAAAAAATCAACGAATAATGACGACAGGTACGTGCGAATGAATTCTATGAAGGTAAAATAACTGATATATAATCTGTGATTGAATAATAGCTTCAGTCAATGACACTAGTGATTTATGTTTAACTCCATATTGCATCAAAGCAGGTCAGTATATTTTATCACATCAGTGGAGATTTTTTTATCTTTTTTAGCAAACTATCTGCTCGAAAGTATTAATGAAACAATCGATCCATGCGAAAACTTTTATGAGTTCGCCTGTGGAACATGGATTAAGAAGGCGCGAATACCACCTGATAGTAAGCTCTAGATAATCAAATGAATAATATATTCTATCATTTTCAGATGGTATGGAACGTTCTCTTTCAGGAATGTCGACAAAGTTAGAGAATGCACTTGTCGGTACAGTAAATTACTCCTATGTTTTATTTATTTTCTCGTTTTTCGAAGATCTGCTTTCATCATCACCACTGAATGGAACAATAGAGCCTAAAGCAATTACTAATGCTCGTCGCTTGTATACTTCTTGTATCAACGAAAGTGCTATCGAAGCGGAGGGTGTCGATGTAATACTCTCCTTCATCAATACAGAGCTCGGTGGATGGCCTATCTTGCAAGGTTCGACATGGAACGAATCAACATTTGATTTAGCTCGTCTAATGCTCAAATTAAGCCAGCACAATAATTTCATATTGTACACGGTGAAGCCAGCTATCGACGAACAGAATTCGTCGGTTCGAAGCATTCGAGTGAGATTCAATAGTTAGAATTGTTGATGATGAATATTCATCTTTCAGATCGGTTCAACTAATCTTCCAGAAAATTTGATCCACTATACCAAAGGAGCAGAAGTAACAAAAGCTTATTTGCAGTTCTTTAATAACTTCACTTTAGCATTGACCAATGACACATCAAAAATCGATGACGATATTTTTGATGTCGTCAAGTTTGAAATAGAAATTTTAAAAGTAAATCTCTTTTTTCATACGTACTTTGTGTTTCACTTCTTTTAAACAGTACTGTATAAACGTAGACGAACAATCTATCAGCAATACCATCCGTACAACAGTCGGTAATCTTTCGCGTGCAGCCAACATTAGTGTGAGTGTTAACTTTTTCATAGTCTCTAACATTTTCTCTTCATGTTTCTATTCAGTCTGATTTTACCAATTATCTTCGTCGTCTGTATCTGTTCGGAAATGTGTCTCTCATTGATACAGACATTGTAACTGTGTCTG